CCCTGTATTTATTGAGAAAGATTTTATGAAAATTTCAAGCAATTTCTTAGACCCATTAATTAGATAATCAAACATGGACCAAACTTTTGAAAAATCGATTTCAATGTTAAAATTTTCAAAATCAATTTTAATTGTAAAGAATTTATTTTTTAAAAAATAAGATTCAGCATATAAATCACCTCAATTTAATCTATTTATTTTGTAAAAATATTTGAATTAACTTAAATTTTTAGCAAGACAATTCAAAATGAATTTACGGACCAAACTTTTGAAATAGAGTGTAAATCATCCAACAATTAACTAAAAAAAATAATTTCCTTCCCTCCACAATACTTTTGAATACTGTGTCCCAACCACCCTGAACATGATTCTCTCAAGAATCTGAGTTCCTAGAAAACTCTAGTATTTTTTGTTGCTGTTGTCAAATCATGGTCATAATTTGGCTTGAGAATTCATTACCACCATTTTGACGTAAAAATGACTGACCATGACTGAAGTTTTTTCGCTGAGAAACTTTTCCTGACAATCGTAAATAAAGTGAGTTTATTAAAATTAACCAAAACAAACTCTTTGATTTTTTCCCGATCAAACTGAGCTCATATAACACAACGTGAACAAGACAGACATGGGCATTGTCCAGACAATCTCTCGACAACAGAAAACTCATACAGAATCACTTGGAATGGAATGAAGTTAAATTTTTGAATTTAATCCAAATGCTCACTAGACTGGTATAATATTAACACCCTCATAAAGACATCTCATCACAATATACAGCTAATGTTTGTTGTAATTTTATTTAATACACCAGTTTCATGCAATAGTTAATCTTTGATAAGCGCCGTCTACTATACTACCAATGGACTAATTAAGCATCTTACGCATAGTAGATGGCGTTTATCAAAAATGAAATATTGTTGCAACACTTAACTCTTTGTCTTTACTCTTTTCTCAAAAATCACCAGACTCAAGTGAACTTGTAGTTATAAACTATTAATTTATTTAACAATGTTGATCAACGAACTTCCTGATGATTGTTTGCTCTCCATTTTTGATTATGTGAATTATCTGGGTGATTTAATAAATTGCTATAAAGGTAATTATGAATATTGTTTCTTTGTATTTCCATTGAAAGTGGCATGTCACGAAAAATTGACTCTCGTCAAATTGTAAATAGACCTCAATTATGTCGATGATTTGCTCAGCAAATTTTGCTGTATTGACGAGAGAGAGTCTCGCATAAGTCAATAAGTTTCGCGCTCTGAGTATCAAAAGTTGCATCCGAATGAAACATCTGACTGGTGTGGCGCAGTATTTGAATATTTTTACAGATTTTAAGTGATGTTGTCTTGGTTCTGAAGGCAATTGGATAATGATTGAGCAAATCAATAACAAATTCAGTAATTCTTTAAAAATTTCATTGCAGTGTGTACTAAATGGCGTTATTTAATTGCTAAGCGAAATAAAAAAGTTAAATATTTGTTAGGTAAGTTTCAATTTTTCATTCATGCTTATTCTCAATATGGTAAATTGATTAATAGCTTGAATTTATATTTTCAGAGGATCCTCATCAGAAAGCGGATTCTGTTCATTATAGCGGAGATGATCCTGATGAATCAGAATCAGATGATGTTCATTATAAGGCAGAAGATTCTGATTATGATGATGATGATGATGATCCTCCTCGTGATTATGATTTTCATGATTATTCATCAGATTGTGTTTATTATGTGGAAGCAGATTTGATTGATGGCACCATTCTCAGCACATTATTTCCAAATTTAATAGTAAGTTGATATTTTTAATCAAATACCTTTTTGCATTTTTCATTGAATTACAATATTCTTATTTATCTTTATCTTCTAGATTGCTGAATATTCGCATAGTTGCATTGAGAAAGTAGATTATGAAAATATCGTTTCATTTATCAGGAATCATAAACCTTTGAAAGGAATAATCAAATGGCTTAAAAGACCAATAGAAAAACATTGTGATAAACTCGAAATGCTATCCGCCTTTTATATACATCCAAGCATTATACAAAAGGTTTCGAGTATAAAACAATTGTACCTTCAGTATTGTTCTCTAGATGATTTCAAAAGAGATGCTCATTATTTGCCAAATCTTGAAAGACTACATATTAGGGATGCAGGTAATTATATAAATATTGCGGTCTAAAATGTTTGTAATGAAAATCTATTGTTCAGCCCCATGCAGATACTACGATGGTCCAGTATTGGAAAAGCTTAAAATTTTTGAGCTGGATTTTTCATCTTCTTGTGTGACAGACATTTGTTATTGTTTCCAGTTCATGGATTCATGTCCAAATTTACAAAGTGCATACATTTTCTTGGAAAATCTTCGATTTTATGTCGATGAAACAATCAAACACCAATGTTTACAAGATTTGGTTATAGTTTTTGTGAGTATTAATTCAATTTGAGATGAAATGTCTTCCTTGTGAATATTAAATTCCATTCAGATATATCTTATATTGAAATAATCAGGGTTAGGTTGTGTCAACAAGGAAAGGTCATCTGTTCAAAATTATCAATATAAACTAATTTATTTTATAATTACAGGCTGATCCTCCCCGAACCGACTGGAATGATTTAAAAAGATTGCTTATGAAGTATCCGAATCTCAAACATCTTGGGTTGAGGGACGCAAGTATGCTGAATGATGAACACATAAAGCAATTACTTCACATTTTACCCAATTTAGTGCTGTTTCAGGTTGATTTATGTGAGGAAATCACTGAAAGAGCTGCTTATTATGTTCAAGATTATTGTAAAAGACATGGACGATCAATCGAATTTTATTTCAATGAGAATTCCTATGAAATCGAGTATGATTGGCCTCAGTTGTCCACTAAACGGGAAAAAATTAGTCGAGGCTTTGATTTCATGAAACATTGTTTTCTTAAAGATTATTATGATCTTCCACATTTCTTGATTCCTATTGAATACTGAAAATCACATAACTAATACTTAATAATATATTTTTGACTTTGGAAACCCATTCGAAGCTTGAAATTTTTCTCCTTTCTTTAATCAATTATAATGTATTTTCTGGTGGACTTTAAAAGTTAAATCAGCCAAATGACTTTCATTAAAAAATCTCTTTGCGATCGAAGTTTCAACTTCAACCTAACTTTTCATATGAAAAGTTGTGTCTTTACTACAAATGACAGTTTATTTTCGCTTGTTCATTGGTACAAAAAGGGATGCTTAGTTCGCAAATTCCCGGTGATGAAATAAATTTAGCATTTTAATTTTAAGTTTAAAGGAAAATAGATAGAGGAAAGATGCAGGATGAGAGGTGGGTTTGTTTTGAATTGAGTATTTGGTGTTGACCGAGGCTGACAAATTATCTCAATCTACCGCTGAAATATTTCAAAATGGTGACCAGTGAACTTCCCAATGTTATTTATTTTTTGTTTAGTGGACAACTGAGGCCAATCATAATCGATTTCATAGAAATTCTCATCAAAGTAAAACTTGATTGATCGTCCATACAATAGTCTTTAACATAATCAGCAGCCCTTTGCGTCACATTACATTCACGAACATCAAATAGAACCAAATCGGGTAAAATGTAAACCAATTGCTCGATGTGTTCATCTTTTTTGCTACGTAATTTCCGTATATGTTTGAGATTCGGATATTTCATAAAAAAATCTTGCTAAATCATTCCAGTCGATTTGAGGATGGTAGAATACATTTTATTGATAAAACAATGGGCTTCCGAGGTATAAAAATAACAAATAAATTAATAAGTATGCGGTTCTCAATAATCAATAGGAATCAAGAAATAGGGAAGGGCATCGAAATATTTAAGAAAACAATGTTTCATGAAATCAAAGCCTAGACTAAACTCTTCATCTTCAGTGGACAACTGAGGCCATTCTGATGCGACTTGATTGTAGTCATCGTCATCATTGAAGTAAAACTTGATTGATCTTCCATACCGTTTACAATAATTTTCAACATAATCAGCAGCCCTTTGAGTGACTCTAGGAGAATCATGAATATGCAAAAGTACTAATTCGGGTAAAATGTGAACCAATTGCTCGATATGTTCATCGTACATCCACAGTCTGTCCAACCTAAGATGTTTAAGATTCGGATACTCCATAAACAATCTTTTTAAATCATTCCAGTCGATTCGAGAAGGGCCAATCTGTAAATAAAATCAATCAGTTTATATTGACAAATTTTGAACAGATGACCATTCCATGTTGTAACCTAACCTTGTTGATTATAATCATAAATTGATCGAATAAATTATGATACTCAGAAAATATTTTTTCAAAAAAGCAATGACATTTCAGATGGTTTTGATACTTACATAAGATAAAACTAAATCTTGCAAACATTCGAGTTTCGAGTTTCCATCAACAAAAAAGCGATGATCTTTTGTGTAAATATGTGCACTTTGCAAATTTGGACATGAATCCATGAACTGGAAAGCATAACAAATCTCATCAGGAGACGACAAGTCAAGTTCAGCTATTTTAAGCTTTTCAAAAACTGGTCCTTTGTTGAAATGATGAACACCTGTGGATGAACGATTTATTTTCATCAGCAAACATTACTCACGAAAATATTTATATAATCACCTTCATCTCTAATACGTAGTTTTTCCAGATTCGGGAAATAATGAGCAACTCTTTTGAAATCATCTAGAGTAACATTCCCAATGTACAATTGTCTCATATTGGAACCATTTTGTAGGATATCTGGCTCAATATGATGGGTGCTTAGCATTTCGAGTTTATCACAATATTTTTCTATTGGAACATCAAGGAAATTGATTATTCCCTTCAACGATTCATGATTTCTGACAAATGAACCAACTTTTTCAGCATCTTTTGCTTTCATGCATTTAGAAAAAAATGTTTTATCATCTCCATTCGAATTCTCAAAAACCTAAGAGAAAAAAATTGGCATTCAATGAAATATCCAGAAAGATATTTAATTAATAATATAAACTTACTATTATGTTTGGAAATAATGTGCTCAGAGTGGTCTCATCAATCAAATCTAGTCCTTCATAAAAAACATAATCAGATGCGTAGATAGGACATTCTGCAAATAGGAATTTTTGCAATTAATAAATTGATCGAAATGAGAATAAGAATTGGTGAAACTTTGAATCTTACCCATCAAGTATTTAACTTTTTTAGTTCGCTTAGCAATTAAATAGCTCCATTTGATACACACTGAAATGAAAAAGCTAATGCATTATTGATTTAGTGTTTTTACTCAATCATTATTCAATTGCTACAGAACCAACCCAACATAACTTAATCTGTAAAAATATTCAAATACTGCGCTTCAACAGTCAGATGATTGAGTGTTTTTATGATCGCAGGATAACAAAAAATGTTTCATTCAGATAAAACTTTCATTATACTCGAAGTCATAATCTTATTGACTCATTAGATTTCACTCGGCCACTTCAGCTAGCACAGCAAATAGTTGACTAGATCGACTTAAAATTGAAGTTATCAATGAAGTTATCAATAAGGAAAATTTCAATGATTTAGATTAGAATAAAGAAAATATGATTGGTAATTACCTTTATAGCAGTTTACTAA